AATAGCTTTAGAAATCCTTCAATTGCCCATGACTATGCAAATATTGCTGGTAATAATGCAGTAACCATAGGTGTTTCCATAATTCCAGCTGAAGCTTTTACTGAAGATTGGCGTTTAGCTGGAGGATGTTTATCAGATAGACCTGCTAATGCTGTTAATGCAGGTAATGCTAATCCTATAGTATTTGGTGATATTCGGATTGGTCAAGTATTATATTGGCTCAGAAATGAATATCCTACAGTAATAAGTGAAAAGCGCAATTTAGTTTATGAATCATTAGCTCAGAGAGGTGAACCTATAGGAGACTTTTACTCAAAACTCTTAAAATATGAAAAAATGTTTAATCTTAATGAGCAACAGATTAAGGAATAATTTCTAAGAGGTTTGTCTCCAGACTTGGAGAATGATGCAGAACACATTGGTACTGAGCAACCATTAGCTGATCTTTTTGAAATTTTAGAGCGAATTTAAATATGAAGAGCAGAGAAAAAATTAGGATTAGTTAGTAAAATACCTAGTCTAATTATAAATTGTTATCTAAATTAAATAACACCTACACAATCCCAATCTGTTTTTTCACAATCAGCTTCTCAGCAAATACAGCCATCACAACTATTGCAGACACCTCAACCTTATTATGGACCACAACCTCCTGACACATATCAAAAAATGCAAGATATATTAATAGATAGATTTGTACAATGGATTACTAGAGAGGTTTCAGAATTTGTTCCTATCTCCAAGCCCGATTTGCCTTCAAAACCAGTAATAAAGAAAGTTGAAGTTGACTCTGATGATGAATTGGCCAATCTTATGAAAAAGCAGTTGAAGTTGCACGTAGCTAAGGCTGTTAAAAAAGCTACAAAAGCACAACACTGTTGCTCAAACTGTAATAGGACTAGGTATAATTCTCGTAAGTGTCCTCGGAAAAAGAAGAGTAAATCCAAAAATAAAAAAGGTAATATCCATAAGGTTACTGTAGATTCGAGCTCTGAGTCAGATTCAGATACTAACTCTTCTGATAATAATTCTGATTCTGGCTCCAAATCAGGGTCCAATTTTGAAGAATCCTCAGCCGAATCTGAATTTGAAAGTGACAATAAGGTTTATATTAGTAAGGTAAAAAAAAAGTAAAATATAAGAGCAAATCTACAAAATTGCTATCTAAAAAGTCTGGTTCAAAGAAGAGACAGAGTCTTGAATCTCCGATTTAACGTTCTTCACAAAAAATACAAAAGAAATCAGATACGATTATCGACTCACAAATTTGAAAAATTATTCTAGCTATGTTTAATAATCCAGAGGTTATAAAAACGATTAAAAACAATATTAATAATACGAATTTATCTATAACTCAAAGAGTCGCCCCTAAAGGGCCTGCAAAATCTGATTTTATAAATTATCGAGAGCCGGCCCCAGAAATATCTGAATCAGATAGAGAAGAGGACATATTGAATGATCCTATAGAGATTGATTTTGTCTGTCAGAAAGAACTGGTAATTAGTATTGCAACTATACCAGTTAAAATTAAACACTTAAAAATTCTAGCATTGGTACTAGATAGTGGTGCCAAACCTGCAATTGTATCAGAAGATATTGTTAAACATGTAGGCGGAAAAATAGATAAATCAGAAAAATATGATCTCAGTGGCGTCGCTACTGTTTCAACAGAATCTGTTGGTATTTCTCATAATTTGCCAATAACATTTCCTTCAGGTTTTACTATACTATATATGAAGATTTTGTAGTTGTACGAGTTCCTAAACTGACATTAATATTTCCAAATCCGCTTCTTAAAAAATATAAATATACTGTAAACTGGGGTAACGATAAAATGAAAATTCATTACAATAGAAAAGATTTTATTATTCCGGTCACTATACACAAAGTTAAGAATAAACTCGAAGTAAATTGCACTACTACATCTCAGAATAATAGGAACGGGGTCCTATTGCTTTGCAATAAGCCTTTGGTATCTGATCAAATTTCTCAAGAGGTTGATAGTAATGAGAGGGATAATGAATCATTGGAGGAGGAATGGCATGCTCCTGCGAGTCATATTTGCTTTATTTTTATCATCTCTTCTGGCTTCTTTTTCATATAATGCATCCAGATCCTCACTACTTATTTTTCTATAGAGTTATTAGTAGGTGTTGAATCAGATATATGAGAGTGAAGCTCATTATTATATAATACAGAATTAGTCCGAGATCTGGATCTTCTCTTTTTTGTTTTTGTATTAAGAGTGGTAGATTCTAGTTGTAGATTCAGAGAATTATGATTCAAAGAATTATCTAAGGACTTGCTTTGCAATAAAACCTCATTTTCAATTCGTAATCAAGAATTTATTTGTTGTTGGCATTCTCGATTTTTTATATAATCAACAACATGAGAGTGAGATATGTGATATTTTTTTGCCATTGTATTTATTGCATCAGGTATTATATTTATTGATCCTTAAATTTCTTGAATCGCCTTATCCGAAAGAAATGTTGCATTAGCACTATAATATTTTTTATGGATACGTCTCATATCAACTACGTAAATGTTCTGCTTTGCAAAAATATTTTTATTATCACATATAAAGAAAAGTTTCAAAAAGTTTCGAAATATTTTGAAATATTAGTTATACATATAGTAGTTGATATATAATGAAAAATATACAAATATTCCAGAATATCTTAGAATGTTTCAAAATGTTTTATTATATTTAAAAATATACAAATATATAAAAAAATAATATTTACTAGAGATATATTTTACTTTTTGCAACTTATTCATTTTTTATATATTATCTATTATTTAGCAGAGCAAGCACAAGATGCTAATATGTTGGCTAATATATATATATTACAAAATATTAAAGGCTATTGACTTGGTAGTATATGCGAAGAAGAGCTAGAAAAAAAAATACACGATGCTATCAAGTCCAAAGCCGAAATTAATAAGCTTAGTGAAAAATTGCAAGATAAATACATAAAGCAAATGAAGGCATTTGATCGAGAAAGAAAGAGGTGAAATCGGAATTCATTATGAAATATTACTGAGATTCAAAAGTTATGCACCCACGCTTTGCAGGTTATTAATGAGCATAAGCAAATACAAAATGAAAATACTAATCTTATTTCTCATAATACACAAAAGGATATTTTTATTGCTGAATCCAAGGCTGAGATGGCTACAAAATCAAAGAAAATTAGATCGCTTGAGTCTATGATCAAGATATTGGAAAGTAAGGTGACTTTAGCTAAGAAAGATGTATTTTCGATTCAAAATGACTCACTAAAAAAAGAATCTGAGATATTATCCCTTAAATCTAAAATAGCTGAAGTAGAACAAATAAAAAATAAACTAGCCTCTAAAGTTAGTGAGTTGGAGCATCTAAAATCAGAAGATATATCGAAACCTATAGTTGGTGGAGATGATGAAAAAAATACACAAGGTGGAAAACAGACTTTCCTATCGAATTCTGATGAAATATCTGCGGTTAGTGAATCTAGTAATCTTAGTAAATATTTAGTATGCAGAAAAAATATGGAAGAGGATAAAAAAATCGGCACAGATATACCAGCTCATACCAATAATGTGATTATTTCTATACCCGAGAAATCAGAAATTCAGAATTGTACACCACCCCCCAAAGTCAATACCGAGATTATTCTTGAGAAAAAAGATGTGACCCCATATCTTGCACAAGTAGAAAACTATACACCCTCTCCAATTAAATCACATCCTCAGATTTTGGTGGGAGGAATAGAAGCAATTCTCATTGTAGTAAGTACTTTAATGTCACCACTATTGGCATATATTTTTCTTATCTTGTTAATTATTATGGTGTGGTTTGTTATATTGAGACGCGAATAGGGTCAGTAAAAAAAGTGATCAATTGCGAGATGCATGGGTCAGGTAATAGATAATCAAAATCATGTAATTTTGATCAAAATAAATTTCATATAAATATTATAGAGTGTTTTACGCCGTGCGATTTTAGATCTTTAAGTACATCATCCATCTTTTTTACAGCTATTTTTTCTCCCCTATATCAAATGGTTTTTCCAATAAAAAGCGCAAATCATCAAGAGTTAATTTTTTATAATCGTCTAACAACAAAGCAGGTCCTGGAATAAGTATATTATCTCACCCTTTTCATTGATTTATTAAATGAGTTGCTAGTAGATTTATAGGCAGTTTTTTATTTTGACCGTCATCATCACAAAATAAAATCAAATAAAAATCTTTTGGTCCAAAAATTGTTATGTGATCATTATAATCACTTTGTAGTATTTTACTAATATCTTCTTTTTTAACATTAACTTGTTTTATTTCTGGAGACCACGTACAGGCATATATATTCCTTCAGTAATTTCTTCCATAATAAGCTAATATTAATTTGGTTAATTTTAAATGCAAGGGTTTTTGAGTCGCTAAAATTTCAGGTAAGT